GCGTGCCTGGCTGAGGAATTCTGGGAGTTGAAGTCCACAAGTCATAAAAGGGCCAAATTTGAAGACCCCTGGCCTATGACCTGTAGTGCAGGAGCTCTTATTATTATTATTATTATTATTATTATTATTATTTATTAAATTTATATACCGCCCTATCTCCCTTGCGGGACTCAGGGCGGTGAACAGGCGGTACTAAAAACCACAAATAAATAAATAGTTTCTGTTTTAAAATCGAATTGAATAATAGGCCTGTTCTAAAAACACACCCATACAAAACCCCCCACTGAAACGCAATCCAAACTACGCCAGGCCGGCCGCACGGAATAGATGGGCCTTCAGGGCTCGGCGAAAAAGGCGCAGGTCCGCAACTGTACGTAGGTCGGGGGGTAGGTCATTCCAGAGGGCAGGAGCTGCCACAGAGAAGGCTCTCCCCCTGGGGGTCGCCAGCCGGCATTGTCTTCATTGTTTCATGACTGATATGAGTGCATTCTGTGGGAACGCAGGAGAGGACTTTATTGTGATACCATAACTTTGGAATGCCTTTCATCAGGGGCTACGTTAGTGCTGACTAAACATATCCCTCCGCATAAGGTAAAGAAATTGGGGTTTGTACTCATGTGAAATTTAGCTCAACCTTGCTTTGATCTCTTAACCACTTTTCTATTAATAATCTTTATTTGATACTGTATATTTTAACTACTATGTTTTTATTTTATTTGTCTTCATTGTTTTATCTTGTTTTTAATAGATGGTTTTTCCACCACGAGATTTTCTGGGTATTGAATAGCCTATAAATAATACAAATTGACTAATTGTCAGCTTATAAATAATATATCAAATTGTATCTAAGCCAGATTTTATAATTTCTCTGAAGTGCAATGAATGCTTGGTGCATCTAACTTGAATATATAGAAATGTTACACAGTCAAAAAATTGGGTTTTTAAAATGTCATTATAGCCACAATTCTAAGTTTTGTAATATTTTTGTCACATTAGGAGTTATCTTCCTATCGCAGAGAAAAAGAAAAATTGAGTGAAGAACTCTTTGGAAAAACAGAGGAAAAACAAAATCTTGACATACTATTAAACCAGACTCAAGTAGAAAACCACAGATTGTCCAAAAAAGTTGAAAACCTTGAAATTATAAGTAAGTATCTACATTCCCACGGGCTGTTAGAGATGGATTTCCTGCCTCAAATGAAATCTTGGGGGGGGGGAATCTAATGAAGGAGAGTCAGGAACATTTGCATAATTCATAGCTGAATTGTTTATTAAATATTTTCCCACTAATTCTTTCAGATTTTGGTTCCTTTCCTGAGGAGACCAGAGTCCTTTACAAAAGTTGTTAGAATAATACTATTTTGCAAATTTAAATATTTGTTTACTGTATATTAATATAATATAACTAGCTGTACCCAGCCACGCGTTGCTGTGGCTCAGTCTGGTTAAATGGAAAAGAAAGAATTGGAAATTTGGAAATTGTAAATGGATCGTAAATCGGAAACATTGAAATGGAATTGTAAAATTGTAGCGTGTGTTGCTTTTATGTCCAACAAATGGTGCTGTTTTTCCAAAAAAGCATGTTTTTACCTGTCACAGGTGTGACATCTATATAATAGTAGGTACTGTATATAAAAACACGCGCGTATTCGAATGCAACGTGTCAAAATTTCAAAGCAATCGGTGAAGAACTTTCGGAGATTTAAGATTTTGAACAAACGAACATTTACATTTTTATTTATATAGATTATTATTATTGTATTCTAAAACTGACAAATATTAAATAAACTCTAACCCTACGCCTTGTCCTAATCCTAACCCATTGGACCATCACTTCAGAGATATTTCCCTACCTAAATAGAGAAACAGAATAACTAAGGACTGACAAAAAAGCAGGGCGTGGGATTTTGGACTTCCTGCCAATTTTCCCCAGGGGTTATCATAAATCTTCCTTTCTCTTCCCCTCCCTTCTTTCATTAGAAATAGAAAAATTTTGAAAGAGTTTTTCTTTATCATGTCTGTAATGAATGCTTTAGCTGAAGGCTTCATGTGCATAGAAATTTCATCCTTGCTGATTGTGGCCTGTTGCAGATCGGGAACTTGTCATAGAGCTGGAGAGAATGAGGCTTGAGGGTGGCATAGCACTTGGAGACAAGTCCCCTTCTCGCCTAGATGCATTTGTGAAGACCATAGAAGAAGACAGGGACTATTATAAGCGAGAACTAGAGTGTCTCCAGAAGATATTTAAAAGAAGATCTAGCCCATTACTCA